ATCTGCTATCCCTGGAAGGGAACGAAGTGTTTTCATAAAATGCTATACAAATGCTTAGAGGAGAATAAAAGTAAAATTACTTGAGGTTCACCTCACAACTCAGTTCAAAGTCCACTTAAGAATCAAGGTCTCTCAACTCCCAACCTTGAACTTTATGCGAACAATTTACCGGCAAAATCAGATGGCACATTTTTAACATACAGAGGACCAATGTTGAAAGAAGATTCTAAATAGTGGGGATAAGACTATCACTTTTTTGTTCCAGTTACTCCCCCTCCATGCCCCAATTGCTAAAGCAGCATTTTATGGGGTCTCCTGCTCCTTGAGCTGCAATATAATGGACCACATGAAGCTCGTTGTGTGTAGTCCAGGAGTATACCGTGCTATCTGCAGGCTCTGCTATCATCCAAAGTTTGAAAGAGCCATCAAATATCTTCTTAGACGCTCTTTATACCCACAGCTAATATAACTGTACCCCACCCCTGGATTGAGACAGAGCTGAGGCTGCATCCTGGCAAGGGACCTTGCTCTCAGTTCCTAACCATGAAATGAAAGACGGAACTAGACTGTTTCTAAAGCCTATTTCAGTTCTAAGATTCTGTGAGTCTAAAACTATGTTTGTTATTACAAGTCATGACAGCTACTATTGAATAGTCTTCCAATTACCTATTTTCTCAGGCTTCTTTTTAAATTCTTTATTACTGGACATTACACTCAGGAAGAATTTCTATAATTCTATGTACCAAATTTGCTTAAAGAAACAAAAAAATTTTAATACCAGATTTTTCAAAGAGCCAATTTTCTTAGTATATTAAAATATGTCAGATAATGTCTAAAGTATGCAATAAGTCTCTTAAAATGATTTTAAGACCAAAGTTTCCTATAATTAGTTATAAAAATATTGTAAACAACTGAACCAAAATGAAACCAAATAAACCAGCTACTAAACTACACATATGTCTTCAAAATCTTATGGGAGTCAAATATTCCAGTAAAAATAACAGAAGAGATGGAAACACAAGTTTCTTATTATCACACTTCATATGTTATAAAACATAACAGCTAACTTATTTTTGGCAAAATGATTAGGGATTGCAACACTCTGGCTTACACAAACTTATTTGGTTGTCAAATGCATCTTAAATGGAGCGTGTCATGCTAACTTCAGGCATGCAGGCACTGTGCTGTCTTAGAGTAGCCCAGAGACACTGAAATTTCAACACTTCAGCAGGGATCACACCGATGATATTAACCGGGCCAGGTGTTTAAAGAGGGGTGGGGGGACTTCAACAATGCAGTTAATTGAAACCAGACAAAGCTTTTGAATAATAATAATAAAAAATCATACAGATGTTCACCCTCCTCCCTGGGTAACCTTTATGGACAATTTATTGCACGCATTATTTTCTAGAAAACACCCTTTTTAAGAAAACACAGTTTCATATGTCTCTCTGAAAACTCTATAATCGCAGTATGAGTTATGCCTCCACAAACAGACTACATTACGCTCATGTCTCATTTCCCTTTCCCCTTTTCACCATGGTTCCTGCAAGGGCGAGAACACCTGGAAGGAGAGCAATAATTAGAAAGCTCTAAAGCAAAAGGAGCTACAAGAAGTTGGATTAACCTTAAGATGCATTGTACTTCTTTCCCAAAAGACATGTGAGTGCATGCCAAAAAGGAGAGATGGGTTCAAAACAAATGTGTTAACAACTGTTCGCAAATATGCACAAGAGAAACTATACAATACATGCAGAATCAATGGGAAGCAAACAAAAACCAAAAAGATCAGTGATTAAGTTAATAGACTGTGAAGGACTCAGCAATGAATATTTTCTTCCCTATGTTTATAGAATAGTGTATTTGTCAGGGTTCCCCAGAGAAAAAGAACCAATAGGATACATAAATATGCATATATATGAAAGGAGATTTATTATAGGAATTGGCTCACATGATTATGGAGGCCAAAAAGTCCCACAATATGCATCTGCCAGCTGGGAACCAGGAAAGCCAGGGGCATGATTCAGTCTGAGTTTGAAGGCCTCAGAACAGGAGGAGCTGATGGTGTAAGTCCTAGAGTCGAAGGCCAGCAAACCTGGAGCTCCAATGTCAGAGGGAAGGAAAGATGGATGTCTCAGCTCAAGAAGACAGAGAGAGAGAGAGAGAACCCCCCTTCCCTGAGTTTTGTTTTATTTGGGACCTCAGTGGATTGGAGGATGCCTGCTCACAATGGTGAGAACAAATCTTTTCTCAGTCTACTGATTCAAATGCTAGTCTCTTCTGGAGGAAAAGATGGATGTCTCAGCTCAAGAAGAGAGAGAGAGAGAGAGAACCCCCCTTTCCTGAGTTTTGTTTTATTTGGGACTTCAACAGATTGGAGGATGCCTGCTCACAATGGTGAGAACAAATCTTTTCTCAGTCTACTGATTCAAATGCTAGTCTCTTCTGGAAACATCCTCAAAGACACACTGAGAAACGTTTTACCAGCTATCTAGCTGTCCCTTAGTCCGGTCCAGTTGACACATAAAATTAACCATCACAAATAGTAATGCTATTATTATTTCACACATGCAAGTACTCTTTTCTTCAAAAGTTTTTTTTTTTTTTAAGTTTTCAAAACACCTGGGATAACTAATAACCCCAAACTGTATTTCATATCAGTTTGCTATATTTTATTAGACAGGACCAACTCACCTCCTACACTGGGAAGTAAACTGGGTATTTTAATTTATATGTTATCTATGTACCTATATGCTTGATTGTACACCACACAAGTGAAATACTAACTGTAGTAGTTGTGGAGTAGGCAGCTTCTGACAAGATCCTCACTTTCTAGTGTTCATGCTCCAGTGTAATCTGCTCCTCTTGAGTGGGGGCTGGACCTAGGGACTTGCTTCTAACAAATGGAATACTGTACAAGTAATGGGATGTGATTTCCATAATTAGGGGATAGTCTGTGACTTCCATCTTGCCAGCAGACTTTCTCTGGCTCTTCTACCACACTTGCTCTAATGAGGCAAGTTAGAAAGACCCACATATTAAGGAACTGAGGGTGGCCTCCACCCACGGGCCACTGATGGACCAAAGCCCTCAGTCCAACAACCCTCATGGAACGGAGTCCTGCCAACAATCATGTAAATGAGCTTAGAAGCACATCCTTCTCAATTCAAATCTTCAAATGAGACTACAGTCCTGGAAGATATCTTGAGTGCAGTCTTATGAGAGACCCTGAAACAGAGGACCCAGCTAAGTTGTGGCCAGATCCCAGACCCACAGAAACTGTTGAGAGAATAAATATGTATGGTTTTAGGGCATTACATTTTGGGGCAATTTGTTACACAGCTGTAGATAACTGATATGGTACTTAACCTAGTGACTGAGCCGATGATTCCACTGTTATTTCCATCACCATAATAACAGCTAATACCTATTAGGAAACTTCTAAGGCCGAGGCACCATTCTTAAGTCTCCCTTGGAGAACATATTATTATCCCCATTTCACAGATGAGGAAAGGGAGGTACAGAGATACTCAATAACTTGTCCCAGGTCACACAGACAAAATACACAGCAAGTACATGAACCTAGGTGTCCTGGCTCTAGAGCCAGGGCTTTTGGCAACTGTGGAGACAGAACCACAGAATGGCAGGGCTGGGCACCATAAAGAAGGTTACCTCATCACACAGTACTAGAGGAGATTTAGAAGACACAAAAAAGATCAGAAGCCATGCAAAATGCTAAAAAGAAAAAGTCTCCTTTCCAATTAAGGTGCCTTTTCTATGGAAAAAAAGAGTAGAAACAATAATACAGTGAACGGAAAGCAATCCTGAATTTACTAAAATCACACTTCGAAATGAAAAATACATTTTCTTATACCCAATAAGCGAAAATTACCAACCTCCATTTGGTATTAAAAACCACACCCAGGGAGGCTATAGTTGTACATTCCCTAAGGGCAATTATGAGTGAGACCTACGTTTGTCAAGCTGGTAGAAGTAGAAGAAAATTTCCAAGGACCTCTGAAACTCCTCTTGAAATTTTTATCATATGGAATGAGAAAAGTCAAAATCCTAGGACACAGAGATTCCAGGAAGGAATCACTTCCTCTCTTGCATTCAGATTACAAGGTTAAATAGCATTCCCTCACACTCCTACACAGTAGTTACCAGACCTATGGATTACTGTGTCTCCTCCATTAGACTTTGGACTCTCTTACCTCAAAGACTGTCTTATTCACTGGGATGTCCTCAAAACACAGCTCAGGGCCTGACATATGGCCAGTGTTTAATATGTTTTGTTGAATCAAGAAATAATTTATGTTGTGAATTGCATCCATTCAATAGATCCTTTCAGTGGTACATGTTATTGAGAGTATGAGTTTCTGTTTTGTTTTGAAGTCTCTTCTAGCTCACTAGCTTTCTTGGGCACTTTAAATAGGTCTTTGTGTCTCCAGCATCTCACTTAATATCTGACACCCAGTGGTACCCAATCATTTGTGAACGAATGAACCCAAAAAGGCTGCCAACCTATAGAATGGAGAAGGATCCAGGCTTATGACTAAATAAAGATTTAGTGTTCCATAAGGACAGCTGTTTGCTTACTGATGATGATGATGATAAATTTTCTTTCTTTTGAAAGGAGGCATGAACATTTGCAAAATATTCTCTCAATAAAGACAGATTCTTGTCTAGGTCTTGGCTGGGGACTACTCTTAAATATTCCTTTATAAATGACAAGTTATATGCAACTTCAGATTAAATGGCATTCATCTGGAAAATTTCTACCTCCTTCAGTATTATTTTTTGAAACACATGGAAATTGCGTGAACATACACTCACATAGGCCCACAGTAATATGGATAAAGATAAAGGCAGCTACCAAATATCCCCCTCTCTGTTATATTTATCAATTAGACAAGAGACAAAAGAGGGAAGGAAAGCTGAGAAGGATCTGCGCAAGTGCATAATCTAGCACCTACAGTCACCTCCTGAGGCATACTTACTGGGAGTTCAGGAGCAAGCTTCAAAATCTCAAGGCTAATATAGCAGCCTACTGAATGGCCAATGACCACAAGTTTTATTTCCTTTGGCACATGAGTTCTCAGGAAAGCTAGCTTGTGTTTAACTTGACCTTGTAGTCCATAGATGTCGTTAATTTCCGGAGCATTTGAATCTAAAAGCAAAAATATGAATATATTTTCACTCAATAAGGTAAAGTAATAAATTCACTGGGAAAACTATCTTAAAAAAAAAAACTAACAACAGTAGTAGTTCCCATTTATTTAAAGCCTACAATGTGCTAGCTACAGTGTTACTTAAATTACATCAAGTCTTCAAAACAGCCCCAGAAAGGAAGCATTATTTTCATTTTACAGATGAAAATCTCAAAGTTCACAGACATTAGGTGACAGACTGACAGTCACACATCTACGAAGTGAGAACAGTGAGATTCAAACCCAGGTCTCTGTCCTCAAAGTCCATGAACTTTCAACTAGTCTATGAACTACAGTTAACTTAGGCCACTAGCTCTCAAACTTGATCATGTATCAGAATCCTCTGCAGGACTTAGGAAAGTGATAACTGCTGGGCCCCACTACCAAACTCCCTGATTCAGTAGGTCGGGGTTGGGGCTCAAGAATTTCTAAGTTTAAAAAAAAAAAAAAAGAATTTCTAAGTTTCCAGGAGATGTTGATATTGCTGGTCCCAGGACCACACACTGAGAACCACTGGTTAGGCTATTTTATATTATTAATAGACAACTAAGAAAACCCATGACACTGCTTCATTATTTTAGATAATCTTTGTTTGCTGAAGAACTTAGACTGAAGGGCTTAAGGAGAAATGTTGTAAATTGTTCCTTTTAACCAGCAGTCTTAACCTGAAATATCCTTTCTTCCTTTCATAAATGAACTGTCTTCTGAAATCTTCAAGAGCTAATTAAAACTTTATCTAGCTAATCTCCAAGAAAAATGAATGAGCCTCCCTTTGTGCTTAACCAGTCCCCTTCCACTCTTATTAGAGCACTTTATCATACTTGTATAATTGTCTGTTTATTTCCTCTCGTAGCCTGTGAGCTCCTTGGAGGCAAGGTCCACTTTTTCCTCTGTGTCCTCTGTGACTAGCACACAGTAAATACTAATGTGGACCGAAAAAACTGAACTCACTGGACAGTCTCTGAGGATGCTGCCAGCTCTGGTAGTCTATAAATATGGTAGTCTATAAATATGAATATAAATTTCAATAGGTTTTCCCTACGCACCTATAATATTTCAAAATATCACAAGGTAGTAAATTGTTTATTAAAGTTTGAATTACTGGAATACTAAATTTCTTGCCTTCAACTCATACAAGTTACTGATGGCAACTGTAATGAGCCACAATGCAGCTCATTTGAAAGGCACCCAGAACTCACTGCAAAGGACTGCTCTTCAGTTTTATCTGTGCGTGCTGTTTCCATTTCCTTCAGTGCTCAGCTCCCCTTGTTAATCTGGCTAACTCCTCTTCATCCTTCAAACTCCCAACAAGTGTTATCTCCTCTGAGAAGCCACTTTATGATTCAGTGGGCGAGGAGTAAAGTAGCCTTCTTTTCAGGTCCCCCGATATCCCATGTTTATCTTACCACACTACTCCTAGCTTATTCCTATTTTACAATTTATGTCTTGCTTATCTCTGTCCCTCAGTGCCTGGCATACAGTTACTGAAGACCTTTTTACTGAGTCAATGAGGCTTAGTTCCCTTTTTCCATGGTATTATTGATCTCTCAGGTTAAGATGTGCTCTGCCCGAATCCTTCTTCCTAGGTCAGCCTAGGATCCATTCTCTGTTTAACAAGGAAGTTCAGCATAAAACAGAATGGGGAAGAGAATCTGGAAGTCTGACTTTGGTAGGGCTCCTGATAGCTCCAAAGGCAAATGTTCACTGAGTATTACACTTGAGTACGTTATGCTCCCCTTTCAGTTTATCTGCTCTGATCACTCCATCCAGAAGGGATCATATTATTCTCAGATACCCCCAAACAAACATCTATAATACTTGCAAACCAAATTCTTTATTTTTCAAAATACATAATGGTTTGAAAATGTAAAAATCTTCATTTCATTGGGACAACATGGTGTAGTAACATCATGGGTGCTGGAGACAAGATAAATCTGGGTCTAAATCCCAGCTGAGCACCTTATTAACTTGGTGGCTAGGGCAAATCTTCAGTGTCCTATTATCTGTAACAGAGATAATAATTCTAGGCTCCTAAGAGTGTAAGCATAATACTTTTAAAGCACACAGCACAAGCGTCTGGCCTAAATTGTGAGAGAAATGAGTTACGCCTGCTATCATTTCAATTCCTGTCATTTAAGTCCTCCCTTGAATATATACCAAGAACATTTACTTAGATAGTGCAAAGAGAAAGAAAATGAGCTAAATGCAGTAAACATTTTAAAACTTCACTGACACCAGAAATAAGGTTCTAAAAGATTGTATTTCAGATGAACTTTAATGAACATTATAATTCAAAAGATTAATCAAATGAATATTTCAGAAGTAAATCTGGTTTTACCTCTGGGAACTGCTCAGTAGCTTTCCAAGATAAAGACATTACTTACTAGCATCTGCCGTAGTAATGAGGTTAGAGGAGAAGAAAACACTTTCTAGAAATAATAATGACAGCAAATATTAAATGTGCTATCTGGACATTATTTTACTAGCAAAAACTAAAGGTTAAAGGACTATATACTTCTTTATATATTTTCACGCCTATTATTATTTTAATATACTCTGAAAAAAATACTAGAAATCATTAACTTTCCATAAAATACAGTAAAAAAAATTACATGCAATTGTACCAAGATCAGAAGAATGATATGGAAATTACTTAAGCCATTCTTCCTGTAGAAAAATGTATTCCAAGTTACAACAACTAAGTATGTTTGGAACATAAACTTTATCAAGATATGGTCTTAAATATGATACTGACAATTTCCTTTTAGAACCTGACCCTATTTGGGGCACCTAGGTGGCTCAGTCAGTTAAGTGTCTGCCTGCAGCTCAGGTCATGATCCTGGGGTTCCGGGATCGAGCCCTGCATCAGGTTCCCTGCTCAGTGGGAGGTCTGTTTCTCCCTCTCCCTCTGTAGCTCCCTGCTTGTACTCTCTCTCTCAAAAAAAAAAAAAGAAAAAAAAAAAGAACCTGACCCTATTTCTTAGACCCATTTCTATGGAATTTACTTTGTAGCTCATTTATTGATTCTGGAGTTTATTTCAAAAGGTACATATAATCTGTTCCTACATAGTTCATAGAAGAATTAAGTAATATTAGTACTTCACATTTATTTTTCATCTGTTGTACAAATTGATTGATCCAGTTATTAAAATTTTGTCAATTTTGGATCAAAATATTATGCATCCCTTACAGCTTCAGGACACAGGTATCTGATAACTATTATTTTGTTCTATTTTACGTCAACTAAATTGACTACTCTGACAGAAAACAGTGACTAAATGGCCGAAGGTGACTTTGAAAATACAGATATAAATACAATGTGCTCCCCTTATCTTCAAGGAGTTCACAATCTAATAAGAGCAAACAGATAGATAAAAACACAATTATAAAACCATGAAATAAGTATATCTCAAGCATTTCCTTGAGAAAAGAACAAATTTTTACCGCATCACAATTGAAAAGTAATGCCCCTTTGGGTTCATGAAAACTACTGGGACCTTCTCCAAATAAATCAAGATAAATATCTAGAAAATATTCCTTACTAATGCACACTACTATAAATATGTAACTTTACATACTTGAATGCAATCATATGGCCTAAATTTAATAATACATACACATATATGTATGTCTAGGTACATACTGAATATAAACGCATAACACATAAGCAGATTTATTTACAAGTCACCTGTGACCACAGAACTAACAAAATTGGGAGATTAGTGCTACATGAGCCTTCTGCTAGGACTGAGTCTGCACACAGTAACTCTCCAAATCTCATACCAGAATTTCTCAACTAGTGAACTCTTCCATCCTGCCCCCATCATTACTCCAAAGCTGTATCTTAATAATTTAATTAAACAACCTACATGTGGAGATTAAAAGGCTAGAAATAGCACTTCCTATTTTAAAGAATGCTTTGAGAAAGATATCTATCTATCTATCTATCTATCTAACTATCTATCTATCTATATATGGTTTACTCTTTAGGTAAAGCTTTAAAAACACAAAACAGTATCATCTGTTGTTCATCATTACATAAATGTCACCAAAAATATAAAAAGAGACATGAAATTTACTTTAAATTTGTGACAGTAAAACTGGAGATGGGATCTAAGAAATGGAATTTTATCAGGGCACCCAGGTGGCTCAGTAGGTTAAGCGCCCAACTCTTGATTTCAGCTCAGGTCATGATCTCAGGGTTGTGGGATCAAGCCCCATGTCGGGCTCCTTGCTGGGCATGGAGCCTGCTTAAGATTCTCTCTCTCCCTCTGCTCCTTCCCCCATCTCTAAAAAAATAATAATAAAAGTAAATTTAAAAATGGAACTTTTTCTGTACTGTTTTATTTATTAACAGAAAATATTAAAGCAATTATGGCAAATATGGCAATTATGGCCAAGTGTTAACTATGAAGAGAAAATCGAGTAGCAGAATCTTGGACTGTTACACTATTGTTTGTACTTTTCTATATTTAAAATTTTTTTTCTCAAAGTAAAAGAAAAAATTTTACTTTAGAATGCTTTGACATGATGATCCTACCTACCTTATATCAGTTTTATAGGGGAACTTACCATTTGCTTCTCCACTACTCTCAGTGGAATACAAAAGCCCCAAAGGACTTTATCTAGGTTTATGCAAAACATCAGTGAAAGGGTAGATGAGAACTGTCCCTAATTCTTTATGCTTATTTAATTCACCGATCCAAAGGCCTTCCTTTCATGACTGTACCCTGACTTTACTAAGCTGATGTGAAAGCATACTCTCATAATTTAGGCCTCCACTGTCCCTGGCCCCCTAAGTATTTCTGCAAACTCCTTGCATCTAAACATTGGTGCAAGTGTGTTAGCTTTTAAGGCATGCAACACAGGTTGTGGTTAGCTTATGGTAGGTAGGCATCCTATTTAAAACTGCTATCAAGCAAACAAAACTTTGTAAACCCCAAACATACCTTACAAAAAT